AATTCATATAATTTTTCTATTTTTTAGCCTGAAATTATAACCTTATTTGAAGAATATATTTACATTATTATACGTTTCATATGTAGCTGCTGGAACTTTAATAACTTATGCATAAGATGATGTGTAAATATTTATTTTAATATAGACCCTTATATAATTATGGATACTCTTGTTGTCTTTTATATTTAACAGTCTTATAATACAGTGATGTTAAATTTAAAGCTATATTCATTTTCTCTACTTAATGTGTTGTATTAGGAGTATTTGTCAATTTTCAGTTTGATAAATTATCTTACATTGTATTTTGCATATTAATGATGTTTTAATAAGGAATAATTACATATTTGTTTGAATATACATCAAGATTAGAATTTTCATAGTTATTTACAATAAAATCATAATAGTATCATAATATATCTATATTAGATAAATTATTTATGAATTTGTTTAAGATCCATTATTTGCAATAAGTTTTAATAAGAAAATAAATAGTTTTGAACTTGAATTTGTAAATAAAAATTTTGAGTTATACTATTAAAAGGATTATAATGGAAATTAATTTAAAGAATTTTTGAGAACTTATACAATAGGAATAAAAATCTTAGAAAATTCTAATTGTTTATGTTTAAATCGATCAATTCAGAAATAATAAAATTTAGAAGAATATTTATTTGATTTAATAAATAATTAAAAATTAAAATAAGATTAAAAAGTTATAAGCATAGAGGCTATTGGTGATAAAGGTAAATTAAATATTGAGATTGCAAGATTTTAATATTAAAAATCAATATTAATATTAATTATTCGCAAAAATTAGACCAAATTATAGATAGAAAAATATGAAAATAATATAAAATTATTTAAAGAAAAATTTCAATAAGTACTTATGTTGATTGGAAATAAATTAGAAGAAAATTATAAATCATTATTATAATTAAATGATACTTAATGTTTTGATAATTATATATTGAGATAATATTATTGCAATATTGAATTTTCATTAAATTACATAAAGAATCATCTAATTTATTTATAAAAAGGAAAGATGTCTTTTTTAAAATAATAAATTGAAGAATTTACAATACATAAATTAAATAGAGCTTTGTCTAATTATTTTATTCATTATTGTTATTAGTATAAAAAATAATTTCAATTAGATTGTTCATATGATGTAGAATAACAAATAATTTATTTAAATACTAGATTATTAACATAATTATTAATAAATTGTTTTAATAAGATTGTAAAGATATCTCAACATCAGAGTATTATATAATTAAAAATAGATAAAAAAATAATAAAAAATACCAAATACAACTTAAATCAAGATTTATAATTAATATCATTTTCTTATATTTTTGAACATAAAAATTATATTGATAAAATGGAGTCTCAATTTTCTCAATCAATAATTTCAGATTCATAATAATAATTTGAAATAGAATGTATTGTTAATTAAATCATTTTAAAGATTCTAAGCCCTTTTAATATTATCTCAACCAATTCACTTTATTAACAAGATGTATAAAATTATCAAACAACATTGAAATTTTTAATTTATACCGATTAAACTTAATTGGATCCATCTTTTACTAAATATATTTAAAACTAAAATTTAGGTTATTGAAATATTATAAAAATTGTATTCTATATTATAAAACTTCTTTTTGTTAATTTAAATGATAAATATATAATCAAATATTATAAATAAATGAGTATTCATTCGATTTAAGAAAAATAAAGGAAATAGGCAATATACATTACTTACAAATTAGAAAATGTAGATTGTTTAGTATAATTGGAATTAATGTCTAAGAAGGTCAATTTTCTAAATTTTTCATAATCCTATTTAAGATTGGAAACTCCTTTTAAATATTTTGGGATTGAATATTAAGAGAGTGGTTTTATAACAATTCCAATTTTTGTTTAGATATTGAATTAGGCCTAAAAAAATCCAATTAAAGGGGCATCAAATGATGTAATTAATGAACTAATTGATGATTTTGAATCCATAGAAGAGGATCTGAATTAAAGATTGGTTCATCTTTTTAAACTTTCAAACAATCCTGAATTTTCTGATGATAAATCTATCAAAGAAAATGATCGACTATTAATGAGTAAGATTAGAGAAATTGATTAATCGATTTCTGATAATTATAAATATAGAAATTAGAATTGGTAATTACTTTATGTTGTTGAAACAACAGCAAAAATAATTTGGAATGGAGAAGAAAAAAAAATAATAAAATTAGGGAAAACAAATAAGTCTATTTAAGATTATGTTTTAAAATTAAGAAAATAATATTAAGGAAAAATAGAATTTAGACCTTTATTTGCTTAGAGATTATATACTCCATAAAATAATTTAGTTGATAAAATATTCTTTCATAAAGAATTATTAAAATCTATACCTGATTCAAAAGTATATCTAAAAGCAGATGAAAATTAAAGTTCATAAATTCATTATGAGTTTTACTTTTTAACAAATGATTTTGTGAACAATTTTGAGTAATGCTTAAAAAAATTTATTGAAAAACATAAATAAGAATATGATGAAGTACTTGATTAAAGTAATGATAAAGAAGATAATCAAGGAGAATAAACATTAGATTTACTTTAAGATAGTCAAATCTAATTCTAAGAGACTTTTGAATAAAAATAATAAGAATAAGAAACTTTAAAAAATAATTTGCAAGAGATTTCATCAATATAAAGTAAAGAAGAAGAATCAATAAATCTAATCCTTTAATCAGATAATTAAGATGAAAAATAAACTATAAATGAACCATCTGAGATTAGCAAATCACTTGATGAGACTTCTTTTGAATTTTTTGATAAGGATCCAATTGTAAATCAAAATTTATTGGGTATTCCTGTAAATTATTAAATATCTGAAGAAAGTTAAGAAATACTTTATGAGGCATCAAAAATGATTAATAATCAAAATAACTATTTGAAAGCATTGTTATATATAGCAGCAGCAAAAAGAGAAATGAAAAATGAAAAATGATATTAATAAATATATTCTATTTATTTCAATAAAAATAAATTATTATTGATCAATTCTTTATAGTATGAGAATACAATACTGAGTAAGGAAAGATAAACAAATTTTATTTAAAAAAAATAAGAAATGATTTTGACAATAGTATTATAAATTTTATGATGGAATAGGAAATTTTTAAATTAATTCAAATTCCAATCCCAATATCCAATCAAACTCTTTTACTTGATACTAATTATATTCTAGATTAATAATAGAAGGTGATTTTATTGAACATAAAAACAGGATAAAAGTGGGAAATTGATTATTAGATCAGATTAGATTAAATAACTGGAATATCAAAATATAGAGAGAACACTTATTATTTGGTTGAATAGTTTTAGAATGCAGCTCAAATTTATAGAATGATTATAACAAGTAAATAAGTTATGGTCAAGTTAATGTATAAGACTGAAATGTAGCGATTTTGTTATCAATTAAATGATCTAAAAGATAGAAGAATGTAATAGCATAAAGCTAGAATTAAATCAGGATACTTTAAATATTCAGAAGTGTATGTTTCATTATATAAATGTGGATTACTACCTGCAATGTAAAATTTGACAAAATGTAAGAATTAAGATTCTGGTTTTGTGAATGATTATTTTGTTAAAGCAACTAAGGATATAATAGAGATATCAAAAGAGAATTCAGTATTAAGTCTTTCTGAGTTAGATGAATAAGAAGAAGATAAAGTGTTATAAAGAATCTAGTTGCCAAATTAATGTAATTAAGTTAGAAATGGGTTGTTAAAAGTTGGGGAATAACTATTTCAATTATAATGATGATTCAAGTATTATTTTAATAGTAAGAGTAATTGCATATGATAGTATATATAATTAATTTTAATTAAAACAATAACAATGCCAATAACGAGTACTTCTCGATTCCATATTAAATAGATAATCTATTTTAAGAATTACTTGTCTTCGAAGATCGATATTAAAAGGGGTCAGACAAATATGATGTGATTCAAAAATTAGTTGATTTATATGCTGTTTTAATAGAGCATTATGACAGTATTCAAGTAATAAATAACAGCTAATTGTAGGATCCAGTGGGATATTATTTTAATGAGAAATTATAATCATTGTTCACATGTTAACGGACTTTGAAAACTATACGTAAAATAAATCAAGATCAAGGTACATTTGTGCCTTTACATTCTTAAAGTTTGTTAATTTAAGAAACAAATAGTATAGAAAATAGTTAAGAGAGTAAGAAAACATAAGTATTAATATAATAATAATAGATAAGTAAGTAACTTGTATTGAATAAAAGAAAAGAGAAAGATAAACTAAAGCAAAGATTGCTATGGAAATCTAAGATTAGATTGAATGCAATTAAAATAGTTTAGAAAATATGATACAAGGATATCAAAAAACTTCTGATTAAAATTAGAAGTAGATAGAAGAGGACTTAAAAAGATAAGATGATAACTTTATATAAAGAAGATAAAAAAGAGAGAGTAAATTTTCCATATTGATAACAAGAAACAAATTAAATGAGAAGATCGAGTAGAATGTGTTCAACTAAATGTAGTACAGAAAAATTGGATGTTTTTGATAGTTGTATAGAATTTTCAAATGGAACATAAGAATAAATGAGAGAATTAAATAATAATAAAGTGATGTAGTTTTTAAAAGAATAATCAGATAAAGTTAGTTCAGATAAAAATTAATCTCAAGAATCTGCATAAATATAGGAAGTCCAACCATTTGAAGATTTGAAAGTAGAGGAAATGGATGAAATTGAAAATATTATACCTCCTAGAAGACAAATTAGAGAATCATCATCCGAAGACATTATGGATACTCCTCCATAGTAATAAAGAAAGGTTAAGTAATTTGGAATGATTGATAATAATGGAGATTTATTATTATTGGAAGATTAATAAAATTTGATCAGTGATTTAAATATTGAATTAAATAATAATTAGAATGGAAGCTGAATCAAATTTTAATGTATAATTGATATTTAATATTATATGATTTTTCATATCCTTCATTAGATGATAACAAAATTATTTATATTTCCATAGATGTCATTATCCTTTAGATCATCATCAGTACAAATCCATTCTCCATCAACATAGAATTTGTAACTAAAAAATATTATTTAATATTATACTAATATTCTCCTGGAAGCAATTTTAGAGTAACATTCCATACTTTAGAGAAATGATCAAATTTTAATTTATGTTTTTCTTTCCATTCATCAAATGAGCCAGAAACTGCTACTTATCTTGGTTATAATAATCTAGTGGATCGATATACAAATTAATGTAATCTCAAATTAGATCTCTTTGCATGAGCCAAAATCCTTTCAAAATTCTTAAGTGTTTTGTCTGAATTAGAAAATACCTAAAAATATTATATTTAAATTTATTACTCTTCCTTCTTCCTTTGCAAATAGTTCTTATTCTTTTAGTTCCTTGTAATCTTATTAAATTTATCCAGCCAATTATTAAACTAATTCCTTATCAATAAAGTTCTTATCAAATAACCTATAATATTCCTAAGCCCATGCTCTACTCACATCAGCAACATCAATGGCTGCATCAAAAGCATTTTTTCTAAGTTAAGAATATTATTCTTAATTCTTATATAATTAAAGAGCTCTGTCTATAGCATAAAGGAAGTTTCCTCGATTATAAGCATCAAAAATAAATCCAGATCCCTTTTATTGTTTTTAATCATATTCATGAACAGTATCTCTCAATCCACCTGTTTTAAAGGCAATAACAGGTGTGCTTCCAATAAAGAACTCATGTTGCACTATACCTCCAGGTTCGAATAATGATGGCATTAATCCAAAGTCACAACCAACATTTACTAATGTACCATCCATAAAGAATGCAGATGGATCAGCCCAGAAATTTCTAGGATATATAGATTTTAATCTAATCATATTCTAAGCACAAAATGCACTATATTCTTCTTTCATATCAGCAGGTCCACCAACCAAAATTTACACAGTGCCTTGACTTCTTTAAATGAGTTCTTCTGCTACTTCCAATATGAGATGTACTCCCTTTTATTTAGTGACTCTACCTACAAAGCCTAACACAACTATGTTATTTTCAAGTTAAGAACATCCAAAATATTTCTTTTATAATTATTCCTTAGCTTTCAAATGATCATTATTAGTTTTATCCATTATTACCTTAAATCTTTATTCTCTTCTTATACCATTAGGAAAAGCAAAAGGTAAAGGATGTCTCCTTAATACACTTGCTAATGGGGAGGATTCTAATAATTCATATTTATAGGATTAAGAGACAGTTCCCCAATTATCACAAGTAATTAATGGACATCTGGATGGATTTATAACTAAATTTTACCAATATGGATCAATTAAGAAATCATTAGGAAGTTCATGTATATAATCTAATGTTCCTTCATTAGGTTTAGGATATAATCTTCCTTCATATAAGGGATCTAAATTGTGAACAATATGGAAAGATTTAGTACCAGCAAAGGCTTCACCATATCTTCTTACTCTAAGATATCCTGGAATTAAACCACAGAACCAATCATTTGTAACAATTAATTTAGGTATTAATTAGATTTAACATAATAATTCTAAACATCCTTTAGCATAGACTGTTAATTATTTCATAACATAACAAGCATCTTCTCCAGCATAAGCAGATGGGAAATATTGTTCATTATGTAACCAAAACAATCTTACTCCATTAAATACTCCTTCAAATACTCCCAAAATTATCTTTTCACCTTACATCCAAATTTCAATATTTCTAATGTGTTTAAATCCATCACTAAGAATATATCCTGTTTCTCCTTTTTTATTTCTATGATAATAAGGAGTGATCAAGATTACTTCTTCATTCATTTTGGCTAATTCTTATGTTAATTCATCAACCATAACTCCCAATCCACCAGTTGTAGTCCATTTGCCCAACTCTGGTGTACAAAAACAAATTTATCCTAATTTATTAAGATTAATTAATTATTATAGGGTGTCAAAGAAGGGTAGATTTTTGTCTTGAGTTCCAAGTATTGATTAAAAGAATGCAAATAATTTACACAATCTTACTTTATTAGATTAGAAATCCTTCATTGAACTGATTAATCTATTTAAATCAAAGTTGTTTGGTTTAATTACTTAATTATAAAAATGAGAAAATCCATTAATAAATTATTATAAAGAATTTAAGTTATCTGTCAATAATGTCAACTTATTTGCAGCATCATTACCATAAATAGTTAATGGTATTTTTGATTACATTTTTTATTATAATCTAATTAATGCACTTTTTTATGCTTTTTATTACACTTCCTAATTATTACCTAAGATTTCAACACCCCAAATTTAAGATTAGAAATTCTTAAGATGTACTTCTAATCTAGATGTCAAGAAATTGCCAATATAAAAATAACTAACTTCTTCATTCTCCAATTCAGGATATGACCAATTTCTTAATCTTACTACTATATTTGATCTTTCTGAATTTGGAAAATAATATCTTAAATTTCTAAGGTTCATAAACATATCAATTTCACCATCATTAAAATTGATAGCAATTAATGCCATTTCATCTTTTGAATATCTAGCAAATGCTAATACATGTGTATGCCAACCATACATATGTTCAGCAGATAATGATACCATCTGACCATTTCTTAATACTTTATGTTATTTTCTCATTTATCTAATATGTACATAATGTTTTCCAATCTATTATAAATCAAATCCAAATTATGGTCCTACTTCTCTTCTAAAATTCTCTTAAGCTGTTGCTATATTAGAAATATCCATTTATGATAAAGATGAACCACTTTATACTCTTACAGGTTAACCATTATTACTAGGTCTTACAGGTGATTATGCAATTTATAATTAAACTTAATGTGTTAATGTATTATATCCAAATCCATAATCTTCATTAACTTATACATAAGATTCTGCTCTTTTGAGTGATCTCTATGGTGTTTTTTATTATGTTGGATCTTATAACTTGATTTCTGAACTCTCATGTTTTGTCACATAATTGAACACATTAGTTGTTTTTTCACGAAATGCAAATCCTTCTTCTTCTCCCATAAAAGTCATAGGAATATCTTACAAAGTAAAAAATAAATCTACAGCTGCCCATGTGCCTCGCTTATATATTAAAGCAGGATAAGGCCATGAATTATAAGTTGTACTTTAAACTATGATACTACCAGATGGATATTATTTAGCTGTATATTCTATCCATTTTTTAATTGCATTAACATTCTTTCTTTCCATTTTTACCATTGTACCATCTTTCTTTAAATTCTCTCCAAATATTGATGCAATAGCTATTGGTAATTTAAATAATCTAGGAATCACACCACTTTAAATAAGATTAATTTCTCTTTCTTCTTATTCTCCCATAGCACCCCAAGCTTCTGCAACAATCAAATAATTTGGAAATTTACTCCATAAAGATTTACATATCTTTACTAAAAATGGATTTGGATATAAATTTTTGACACTTGTACCCCAATAACCACAATCCTCATTTTATAAACAGATTTCTCCATTAAAGATTTATTTATTTGAATATGCTTAATTTCCATCACTGTCTTTTCTATACATTTCATCTAAATCTAGAGAAAATACTTATGGCCATGAAGATCCATTATCTAAATGTACTCCTTATATATTATATTAAGTTGTTAATTCTATCATTTCATCTAATAACAAATCCCAAACTCTCTTTTTTCTATTGTTCAAAATAATTGTATCTTCAAAATGCAAAGATCTTCCATCAGTTCCAAACATAGCTACTTATCTTCCTTATTCATCTAATCTATAAACCAAATCTTTTCTATATTTTCTATGTGGTCTTGCACTACTTATACGTGTAACCATATCTACTATAATTCTTAATTTATTTTATTAAGCAACTTTATTTAATTACATAAATTCTTCTTTACCTCCCAACATTTAATTTGGTGTTAATCTACAAGTAATAGCCAATGGACTTACATCTGGTCTCTTAAATAATTTTTATTATTTGTCTTAATCAATTATTTATCCATTATCTCTTTCTAATGTACCCATTAAATAAACACAATTAATTCCTTATTATACTAAATCAGGTATTTTTTCACGAACCTTTCTAAAATTTCCTCTTTTTGTGAATTTACCTTGATTATCTGGTTTTGCATCTAATAAATCAACATAAATTTCATGAATTTGTAAATTCTTAGAATCTCTAGGATGAACTATAAATCTTCCTTGAATTGGTTTTGCTTCCATCATTTGTAGAGATGTAATTTCAATATTACTTTTTAATTCATCCAAATTCATAATTTTCTAAATACTCTACAATTTACCAGAATTTGTCATTCTAATTAATTTCCAATCATAAAATCCACATCTCTTAAATCTACCAAAATCCATTTTAAATGCCATAAACTTTTTATCTCCTTAAATACTATATTCACTTAATTTTGGTTTATGCCATGATACTATATTTTATTTACATCCTGAATCAAATATATAACTTTTCAATAATATAACAATTGAACTTAAGGGATATGATGAATCATATTCAAATAAATATTGTATATCAAATTTAGATCCAACTTTTGTTATTTTTGGTTTAAATGGTACTCTTTTTTACCAATCAACACCATCATATAAAATATTCAATAAAATAACTGCTTAATCTCTAATCAATTATAATTGATTTCCCAATAAACCAACCAATAATTTTTCCAAATAATGATTACTTATTGTATCTCTTGCTATAATTGATTTACCAACATCTTAATCTAAATCCATTAATAACTTTGTTATTTCATCAACATTCTTTTCTACATTCCCATAAGAAAGTCTAATAAATTTATCTCTTAAATCTGTATATTACTTTTTATGAAATGAGAAATTACTGACTCCATTTACAATGATCATACATCTTTCATCATAATTTTCTGTCACTTATCCTTTCTTATCAGCAAAATGCAATAAAATGTGATATAATTCTAATTTAAACATCTTATTCAATTTATTTGCCATATGACTTCCTACTAATGGATCCAACTTACCTTTAGCTTATATAGCCAATGAAAGCACATTGTAATCTATAGAAAGTACTCCTTCCTCTTTATTTTCATAAGTACAGATCTTCACTCTTAAATCAAGATACTCTGGTTTCACAGTCTAAGATTTGTTCACCAATATTGTACTATTAATTGAACCTACTCTATCATTGATTGAATGCACTGACAAGATATTTGTCTTATTAATATCACTTCTAGATAATGGAATAACTTTGTTCTCATCTACCTTTAATACTCCTACCAATTAATTTAAATTTGCCAGAGATGCAATATAATAATGTACTTTAATATTTTTTAATACAAATTACCCTAAAATATTAGAGATTCAATTGTGTGATTTCCCTTTTAAGTACAGTATTCTGAAAACAATTCACTCTCTGGTTTCCCTTAATAATAGTATAATAATGCATAAATTGATTCCAAATATCCTTAAATCTAATTAATTTATACCCTCTTAAAATTCATGATCTTTATGTGTGAATGATCTCAATACATTCAATAAAGTTAGATCTAATTTGAATTCAAAAGAATAGGTTGAATTCTCAGCATTTTCATACAATTAAAACATAAGATTTTTAATTAATTTATATTTGCATAATAATTTTATTATATTCTCAAGATACTTCCTTCTAAGTCGTCATATTTCTAAATTTTTAAATCTTAATATAATAAATAAAATTATTAATGATGATATAAATTATCAAAAACTTAAAAAGCTTCTTTATTAATTAACATTATAAAATAAATTTCATAAAATTATCATTGATGCAATCATCTAATTATGTTTATCATACCAATTAGGCTCAATTATACCAATAAAGTAAGGTTTCGATATTGTTTTAAAATTTTATGTCTCTATTGTAATGTGTTTCTCCATATTAAAGTTGATCTCCATTGAGTAATTACTACCTGCTTTGCTGTATTGAATGAATTCAACACCTAAGCATTCTTTTTACTCATTTTCATCACTTGTAGACTTATCATATTTTAAGTATTTACTTATTAAATCAAATTAGCTATTTATTCTGTATTAAGTTCTTTCTCCAATTAATAGAAACATAAAACAATATCAAATAGTTAAATAAAGTAAATAGTTCCTAATTCTGGATGCTTATTACTTGTAATAACTTAGTTCTTAATATTGATAAATAAATTTACATTAAATATTATGTAATCAATTTTATTTTTGGTTCCATACTTACAATTTTATAAAATTTATGAAATTTTTGTTTCTAACATTTAATCTGCATATAATTCAGGAGGAATATCCTTATTATAATATTTTGAAAATGGAATTAAATTGTTCTATATAAATATATTAAATTAATATGATACCCTCTTTACAACTAATTGAGATTGAGTCAAAGTTTAATAAAATATTGAAAATTATTAAATTAATGGCTAAACATTAACATCTGCAAAGTCTTATGTACAAAAATATTGAATCACTATATTATCAACAACTTATGTTTCTCTTTGTAATTTTAATAAATATTTAGTAAATCTTGTATGTTCATTAGCTTCATTTACTTAAATTTTCCACTTGAATCCAAGAGATGTAAGTTATTTCTAAATGTTTTTGTTTGTAATAAATTCTCCATTCACCATTTCATGATAAAGACTAAAGTTATTCATAAAAATTACTCTATACCAACTTCTTAAATATTCGGATCAATTAATGTTAATTATGTTATTAACTATTCAAGTACATCTTTTAATTAATTCTCTTAGCAACCAACAATTGTATAAATAATCCATTTTCTAGAGTTTGCATAATTATCTAAAGCACAAATACATTCATGATTCTTAATCATGATTTTCAAAGGTTCAGATTCAATATTTTTTTGGATTAAGGGAAGACATTATAACATAAATTTAGATTTATCAATTTTAATATCATCACTTATGTTGATTTATGATTTAAATGGCTTAAATTTTATTAAATGATGTTGTTTAATTTTAAAAGAATTTATTACATGACCATCATAAAAAATAGAAAAATAAAAATTATCTGGTGCAATTTCAATTGATTATTTTTCAGTATTAACTTTTCTTTTGATTGTCATGAGATGTTCAAATTATAAATTGATATGATGATTAAAAACATCAGCAATTTCATCATTATAACAAAACATTGGTATAGAGAGATCTTCTTCTGTTGGTTAAAATTAAGATATTTAAATTTACTCATGACATATTTAATCTTTAGAAATAAGGATATAATAATCATTATTTAATAAAGATAAAGCATAAACAATTTATCCATCTATTTCCATAAAAGATATATTAGTAATTTCAGGATCTTATATCTAATAATGAATAATTTAAATACAATTCTGTAATATTTATATTCATATCGAACTTCTGTTTAAAAAGATGGTATTTTTAATTTAACATCTAATAAAACAACTCTATCATCATATATTTTTGGTTTCAATTGTATTTAAGGAGGATTATGTTCAGATTTTCTTGAATCAACATAATTTTTAAATTTTTATGCTACATTAGTACTATCATCAATATTATTATAAACTAATTGCATCAATTAATTTAGTTTTGTACTATGAACATGAAAATTAAATTTAAATTGATTCATTTACTATTGTTGATATTCCTTTTTCTTATAATATATTGTATATCTAATATTTCTTCCACTATCATTTGTCTATTACTTCCATCTAAATCCTTCTTATTTTAATGCAACTTTTAAATATTCACAATCAATTAATTTTTCATTTTACATATAATGAACCAATTTTATTGTTATTTCATTTCCATTTAAATAATTACTTAATTATTATATAAATTAAGGAAATAATTATAAATTTTCTAATCTTATTTATTCAATTATGACTTTTCTATATTATTCAGATTATTCACTTTAACTAATGCAAATACCTTTTATTTTTTAATGCTACATTAAAGCTAAAATTAATGAATCCTAATAATCAATTAATTCAAATAAATTGTCTCTTAATGGAAATGAATTCTCAATATCATTATCATTTTTTATTTAATTTAATAAATTATTGAATTACTCTTTATTTCTTACAACTTATGGAACAAGTGTAAAATTATCCTGAATTTAAACAGTTTTATTCTATTTATGATTAGGACTTAATATAGTTTTTAATTCTTAACTTTTTAATTAGTCTTCCATTTGAATTGTAGACTCTCTTAGATATTTATTTATCAATTGAGCTTCTTTTCTTGATAAAATGTTAGTTTACATATCAAAATAATCATTTTCTATGAGTAAAATTTCACTAAAATATATATTATATTATTATTACCAATCACGAATTCTTTTCATCATATCTTTTTATAATTAATGATAATTTGAATGTACTGTGTCATACTTACCTAATTTATATAACCATAACAAAAATGGATCTCTTTAATAATCTTAATAATATTCTTTTAGAAAATCAAGATCTCCTCTTAATTATACAAGATAATCTATTTCATCTATTCTCCATCTAACACATCTATTTAAAGAATCTCTCCATTTTTTATATTGCTCAATAACATTGACTGTTAAAATTCTTAGATGAAATAAAAGCTCTGAAAATTTATGTTCTTCAAATGTTTCAGTTTTTAAAAAGTTTAAACATCTCTCCCTACCTTTTATTAGACTCATTAACTTTTGTACAATTGATTACTTCAACTTTATATCAGCAGTTTCTCTTAAAATAGCATCAAGATCTTTTTCATTGTATTGAAGAAAGTAAGCTCTATGAAATTAAGGAATACGGAATTATTCCCACAATAATTATAATTCATAAAGTCGTATTGCTAATGATTTTTCATCTACAACAATTTTATTCGTAGATGTAGGTCTTTTTACTGATTTCTTCTTAATCATAAACTATTTCTTAATTTCATGATCACTCAGCTTTCCCAAATAAAAACGATTGTCCCATTATTTTTCTCTAATCTAGAAGGGCGGTTTCACTAATTTCATAAATTATTATTATTTATTCAAAGAGAAATTTTATTCTAATAATATAAAATATATATCAATTTTGTATCTCATACATCCTCAATTCTATCGTTTCATCCATTAAAATGATTATATCTAAAGTATTGTTTAATAAATAATTTTTAGAAAGTTTATTTTACATAAGTTCTATCAATATTGTAAATATTACTTTTGACAATAATTCATATTGTATAAATAACATATATCAGTATATTCAAATATAAAACATTAATTCTTAATTTTTTATAGTTTTGATGTCTTAATTTTAAGCATAAAAATATAAGTTATTTTTTGGATATTCATTAGTAAAAAATTGAAATAAAATTTTGTTAAACACAATTAATAAATACTTTTTTATTTGTAATTCATAAAATAAAAATACTCCATTTTTGAATAATAAAAATTGTGTATTTTTATTGATAAGTATTTATTCAAATATTTAATAAATAATATTAGACTAATAAATGGTCTCTTTTATAGAGGAATATAAATATAATTTATTGAGAAATATTAGAATAAAAGATCATACAATTATAATTTAATTGTAAAATATAAAATATACATATTTTATTTATAAATCAAGCAAATTGTAATGCTCCTAGAGCTCCTACAAACATGATTGAATCTTTATAGGATTGTGAAAGGATTGGATTATGGACAACAAATATAGCTGAGAGTAAATAGATTGATCCAATTAATTTTACATAATTCCATTTAAGTAATACTCCAAGACCTACTAAGAATTTCAATAAAGCACAACTAAATACAACTAAAGGTATTGAGTCTAATGAAAATTACTAATAATGAATAATAAATTTTACTNTTCAAATGTTTCAGTTTTTAAAAAGTTTAAACATCTCTCCCTACCTTTTATTAGACTCATTAACTTTTGTACAATTGATTACTTCAACTTTATATCAGCAGTTTCTCTTAAAATAGCATCAAGATCTTTTTCATTGTATTGAAGAAAGTAAGCTCTATGAAATTAAGGAATACGGAATTATTCCCACAATAATTATAATTCATAAAGTCGTATTGCTAATGATTTTTCATCTACAACAATTTTATTCGTAGATGTAGGTCTTTTTACTGATTTCTTCTTAATCATAAACTATTTCTTAATTTCATGATCACTCAGCTTTCCCAAATAAAAACGATTGTCCCATTATTTTTCTCTAATCTAGAAGGGCGGTTTCACTAATTTCATAAATTATTATTATTTATTCAAAGAGAAATTTTATTCTAATAATATAAAATATATATCAATTTTGTATCTCATACATCCTCAATTCTATCGTTTCATCCATTAAAATGATTATATCTAAAGTATTGTTTAATAAATAATTTTTAGAAAGTTTATTTTACATAAGTTCTATCAATATTGTAAATATTACTTTTGACAATAATTCATATTGTATAAATAACATATATCAGTATATTCAAATATAAAACATTAATTCTTAATTTTTTATAGTTTTGATGTCTTAATTTTAAGCATAAAAATATAAGTTATTTTTTGGATATTCATTAGTAAAAAATTGAAATAAAATTTTGTTAAACACAATTAATAAATACTTTTTTATTTGTAATTCATAAAATAAAAATACTCCATTTTTGAATAATAAAAATTGTGTATTTTTATTGATAAGTATTTATTCAAATATTTAATAAATAATATTAGACTAATAAATGGTCTCTTTTATAGAGGAATATAAATATAATTTATTGAGAAATATTAGAATAAAAGATCATACAATTATAATTTAATTGTAAAATATAAAATATACATATTTTATTTATAAATCAAGCAAATTGTAATGCTCCTAGAGCTCCTACAAACATGATTGAATCTTTATAGGATTGTGAAAGGATTGGATTATGGACAACAAATATAGCTGAGAGTAAATAGATTGATCCAATTAATTTTACATAATTCCATTTAAGTAATACTCCAAGACCTACTAAGAATTTCAATAAAGCACAACTAAATACAACTAAAGGTATTGAGTCTAATGAAAATTACTAATAATGAATAATAAATTTTACTATTGATGGACTTTTTGTTAATTATGAAATGAGTTAAAGAAATTGATTAGTTTTTTCATTTGTTTATTTAATTGCTATTTAAGGATTTTGTAATTAATGAATTGCAAATCCAACAAAGAAAATGAAAATACCTAATCTTCCTATTCTTGATGATAATCCCATAATATTTATGAATATTATTTTAAATAATAATTAAACAATATTAATTTTTTTTATATTTATCTGTTATTTATAGTAAATTTATCTAAATAATATGGAAGAATAAGAATTTCTAAAGTATAGATATTGTTGTTATTCTTTTAAAATATCAATAATAGTTAGTATATAAGAAACACTCTTATTAGGGTGATATTTGAAGATAGTATAGTGTTTTAATTGTAAAAATGAGAAAATGGAGGTATTTTTAATTTGATGTGAATTAAATTTTTTATAAGTCAACCACTTGTGTATTTGGTGACGGCTTTTGTTCCTTCAGAGATGGCATGTCTGGCCAATTCTCCTGGGAGGAGCAACTTGACTGCTGTTTGGATTTCTCTTGAACTGAGTGTTCTTCTCTTGTTAAATCTAACCAATTTGCTAGCTTCAAGGGCAATTCTATCGAAGATATCATTGATGAATGAGTTCATAATGTTCATAGCTTTTCTTGAAACACCAATTTCTGGGTGTACTTATCTCAAGACCTTGTAAATATAAAGAGCAAAAGTCTCTTATCTTCTTCTTGCCTTTTTCTTATCATCAGGATTCTTCTTGGTCTTGACTGTCTTGACTGTCTTTTTTGCGGCGTCTGCCTTTGGTGATTTTGATGGTGCCATTTTTATTAATTTGAAAATAAACTTGAATACTCAATACTTAATGTGTCTATTCTTTAATTTGATTGGCTAATTAGGAATATAAGAGAGTGTCAACTAAAATATACTATGATAGTATTGTAACTTGTTAGGTATAATATAAAATCACTATATTAAATGTTATTTAGATAGAAGGAGAAGATATAAGATGTTGGAAGAAACAATTTTAGGGATTTTTATAGAATGGAACATGATGCTTAAACTAAAACAATAAAAATGATGCCTAGTGTTCAGTCTGGTTTATCTAGATCAATGAAGTTTCATATTACTTGAATTTTATTAGTTAGCCTTTGATTGATGAGAATCAGAGTTCACTATCTGGAAGCAGTTGGGATGCTAAACACTTAGATACCTTTCTCAAATAAAGCAAATACTCAAGTATGAGATAAACTTAAGATCTTGATAACTAAGCAGTTTTTGTTGGTAGTGGTTAGAATCAGAGTTTCTTTTTTCGTAGATAATAACCTAGAATTATACCAGAATATATTGATTACTTGAACATGAGCAAAATTAATCATATTGTTTCTGATCATCCTGTAAATCATTCATAAGAAGTTATAAAAAAAAGATTGGAAATACCTGAAAAAAACTATGTTGAATAAAATCTTGCCTTATCATAAGTAATTACACTTAAAAAGCCATCAGGATATTTAGCTGAACTAAAAGAAACACAAGAATAATAAAAAAAGTAAATTATATTTATATATCAATCATAAAGATTTCATTAATGGAGAGAAGAATTTAGTGAAGCTAACAAAGCCTATAGAAAAATTAGATAAGCCTATAAGTAGAAGAATTTTTAATATTAGATCAGGAATAATTGGAATTGACAATCCTACTATTGAAAATTCTGAATTGTACAAAGATGAGCATCAAAAATATAAACAAAAATAAGAAAATAGGATGATTCATTCAATTCATAGATATTAATGTATAATTACATATATCATTTTTCAGCATTGGAAAAATATTCAAGTGCTAATCCTAACATTGAATTTGATAACAGAAAATATGATGATTCTCTAACTTAAATCAATCAGACAAGAAAATTAGGATAATATCCTGTGTAAACTTTTGAGATGGATTATAAATGGATGCACAAGAGAACTATCAATCCATGTCAAAATACACAATAAAGATTATTTGGAGGAGTTGATAAAATTAGTAGAGCAGCATCTCTAAGAGCAGAGAACATAAAAAATCAAGAACTTAGAGGAAGAGATTATAATTGTATTTGTTTAACAAAGGTGTGATAATATATAAATAATCTCACATTAACAATTTTCTTAATAATTCATTTACTTTTAATTAATAAAAAAAATTTAATGAATTCATTTCATTAATAAATTCTAAAAATTATATTAAACATTCAGCATTTAAAGTATATCACTTACTTATTTTAGCCTTTTTAGGAAATTAATTTATTGTATCTGAAAATATTCAACCAAATTCTAATAATCTTTTACTCTTAAAAGTTAGTAAATTATAAAATAATTATTTAACTTTGTTAATAAATTGATTCTTGTATAATTAAACTTTTATTTTTGAATAATTGATTTCTATAAAAAAGTTAATTAATATGAATTTACTTGAAAAATAGAAATATCCAAATAATTTTTTTGTTAGTTTATTTTAAAAGTTTTATTTGATCTTATTCCAATAAAAATAAAACATATGTTATGAATTTATTTATAGAAAATTAATTAAATTAATCTTTAATAATAATCCACTTCGTGGTTCTTCAGTTAATATATATATTATTAACTGATAATTTGAGTTAAATCAATTTAATGAACATTTTTATATATGTTTTTAAAATATAAATATAGTATTCTATAAATTTTTTCTGATTTAATCTCTTAATTATTTAAAATTCTTCAATTAGAAGAAAAAAAATTTTGCTTATTTTAAAGTATTTGTATGATTTAAAATATAAAAACCTATAAATATTAATACAATTTAAACAATATTCTTTTCTGTCCATAGAAGTAACTATTTTGAGTTCGTATTCCAATAACATATTGTTGGTTTTTAAATATATAATGTTGAATATTAATTATTAATGATATTGATACTATATAATTAAAAAGTAAGGATCCCCTTTTACTTTTTAAGCTTAATGAGAGTTAAAAGTTGTAAATGCTTAATTAAATAGGATATGATAAAGGGAAAATTTAATATTCCAAAAATTTCATTCTATAGTTGTTCGATAAATTATATTCCTTAATTTGATGGTTAATATAAAACACTTGTAAAACATTAAAATAGAACAATAATTATGAAGTAAATTTATAGATAGAGTTAAATAATTGCATTTTTAGCATTGAATTTATATATTAAAATATTAAGGTCCATGATTAGTTATCTTAGCATGATTTTTAGGGAATATTACTAATTAAAGTGATTTTAAATTATGTTATTCAAATAAATGTAAATATTTAGAACAAAATGAAAATGTTCTTGAATAAAAATGATTTTTAATTAGAAAATAAGAGTTGAATCTTTATATAAATATTTAAATTTTATGATGCATTTAAGTGAAGGAACCTATTCTAAATGGCATTAATTCTTAGAGCATACAAAGAATGCAATTCCTCTTGATTATGATATGATTGGATAACATGTCAAAATAAAATTATCTAAGTTTCCTAGAGATGATTCTATAATTGATTATTATCAAAATGAATTTTCAAAGTTAATGTTTACTTGATTTATAGTATCACTAGTTCTAAAAATAGAACAAAATGGCATTAAATGGACAAATATTTATTAATTTGGTGTGTAGCAAAATTGTTAAAGGTTTAACAAAGAATAAACTTAGTACCTGTAAAATATAAGTATATTAATAGAATGATCAAGATTGGGATATCATTTCAGAATTATTACAAGTTGATTCATAATTGATTAAATTAAAATGGATTTCATTGTTACATTCCAATTATAGGATTCATTAATGGACAACAGAAGAAGACTAGATTCTTAAAGATGTAGCTTTGTAAATCATATTGTTATTATATTAAAGATAATTTTATGATACAAATAATTGGACTGAATTAACAATGAAATTTAATTCTCTTTCTAGAACATAAAGATATCCTAAATAGATTAGAGAGAGATGGAAGAATGTTTTGAATCCATCTATCCAAAAATGTTTATGGAATCAATAAGAGAAGATAAATTTAATATAATTAGTCTATAAATATGGAAAAAGATGGTCTTTGATTCAAAATCATATCAAAAGTAGAAGTGAGTATTAAATTAAGAATCAATACAATGAGATTATGAGAAATTTAAAACAAGAATAAGTAAATATACTTTATTTATTAAAGTTGACAAATGAAGAAGAAAGAGAATTACTTCTAAATATTATATAAAATTCAAATTAACAAATTTATAATTTGATTGATGAATATTTACTTAAAATAAAGTAAACAAGAGAAGCATCATTAAAACCTTAAATAAAAATAGAAGATATAAAAATGAAAGTCAATAATAATTGCATAATCAAAGAATCAATTTAAATATAAGAATAAAAACAAGAAACATAATGCAAATAAGATTTTTAATGTAACCAATCCCATAATTCTAGCCTAACCAATATAAAATAGTATCATTCAAAACCTTCCTTAATTATACATTACCTAGTAAAATCATCAATATTAATTCAAGAATTCTATTTCTTAAGCCTAATAACATTTTCTATTATATTAATAAAATTAGTAATATAATTAATAAAAACCATTATATTATCCATCATCTAATTAGATTTACTTAAGTTTTCCTTTTTACATGTGAGCATTTTATTGAAATTAAATATTTATCATTTATTAAAGCAACATTATTTTAATCAAACATAATTAATTAATATGAAAAAAACACTTAAGTTTAATTGAATATTTAATTCAAAACACACAGAAATATACATAAATCATAAATCGGAATCATAATCGTCATCTGATGCTTATTATTAACTTCCAGATTATTAGTAAACTTTCTTAATAATTGGATTACAGATTCTAAATATTTAATTTATATATATACTTTTCCAATTCTTTAAGTTCTTCTTCATAGTCTTCTTTTTCAGCATTTTAATTTTTATCTAACCAATCTTAACTATCCTTTAATGCATCCTTAATAGTATCTTTTTCATCATCAGATAATTTGTTAGCCAATTTTTCTGGATCCTAACAATATAAATTTAAATTCATACTTCAATTTGATTTTTCATTGAATAAATATAACTTTCCAAAGAATTCTTAGAATCAATTCTTTCCTTAGCAGCTTTATCTTATTCAGCAAACTCTTCAGCTTCTCTTAACATTTTATCAATTTCTTCCTTTGATAATCTACCTGAATCGTTAGTAATAACAATTTGATTCTTATTTCCTGTTCCTTTATCTTAGGCAGCAACTTAAAGGATACCATTGGCATCAATTTCAAAAGTAACTTCAATTTAAGGAGTTCCTCTAGGAGCTGGTGGGATACCTGTTAAATCGAAAGTTCCTAATTTGTGATTATCTTTAACAAGTGGTCTTTCACCTTCAAAAACTGAAATTGTAACAGTTTATTATTAATCTTAATAGGTTGTGAAGACTTAAGATTTTTTGGTTGGAATATAAGATCCCTTTGGAATGATTTTAGTCATGACTCCTCCAACAGTTTCAATACCCAAACTCAAAGGTGTTGCATCAATAACAATTAAACCTTTGGTTTCATTAGATTCTTCACCACAAATAATACCACCTTAGATGGCAGCACCATAACAAACAGCTTCATCTGGATTGATACCAGTGTTAGCTTCCTTTCCATTAAAGAAATCTTTAACAATTTATCTAATTTTTGGAATTCTGCTTGATCCTCCAACCAAAACGATTTCATGAATTTCAGTCTTTTTGAATTTAGAGTCTTCCAAAGCAGTTTACATAGGACCAGTTGTCTTTTTAAAGAGATCATTGTTCAATTCTTCAAATTTAGCTCTAGTGAGTACTTCATTGAAATCTAAACCATCAACTAAATCTTCAATTTCGATTTTAGTTTCATGAGTAGCAGAGAGTGCTCTCTTAGATTTTTCAACTTCTCTCTTTAATTTTTGAATAGCTCTTTTATCAGCACTGATATCTTTATTATGTTTCTTCTTAATGACCTTAATGAAATGATCAATAATTCTTTAATCAAAATCTTCTCCTCCCAAATGAGTATCTCCTGATGTAGCAACAACTTCAAAAACACCATTATCAATAGTTAAGATTGAAACATCAAAAGTACCACCTCCTAAATCAAAGACTAAGATATTCTTTTCTCCATCTTTCTTATCAAGACCATAAGCTATGGCTGCTGCTGTTGGTTCATTAAGAATTCTAACAACATTCAATCCTGAAATAGTTCCTGCATCTTTAGTAGCTTATCTTTAAGCATCATTGAAATAGGCTGGAACTGTGACAACTGCATTAATAACTTTCTTTCCTAAATATGTTTCAGAGATTTCCTTCATTTTAGTTAAAACCATAGCAGAAATTTCTTCAGGGGCAAAGATCTTAGATTAATGACCTTTAATGTTAGTGACTTTAATGTATGGTTTAGTGTCTTTATCAACAATTTCATATGGCATAAACTTTTTATCATATTGAACTGTTGAATCTGTATATCTATAATACAATAAGATAAAATTCTTACTTTCTTCCAATCAATCTTTTGACATCATAAAGTGTTCTAGCAGGGTTGATGGCTGCCTAGTTTTTAGCTGCCTCTCCTATGAGACGTTCTTCATCAGTAAATGCTACAACTGAAGGTGTAATTCTGTTTCCTTATTCGTTTGGAATGATTTCTACATTTCCATTTTTATAAATTCCAACACAAGAATATGTTGTACCTAAATCAATACCAATGACAGGGCATTCAACTTTGTTTGTCTTTTCCTATGCCCATGCTCCGAGTAGAAGTACGATGAGGATTATTGTTTTCNATTTTAGTCATGACTCCTCCAACAGTTTCAATACCCAAACTCAAAGGAGTTGCATCAATAACAATTAAACCTTTGGTTTCATTAGATTCTTCACCACAAATAATACCACCTTAGATGGCAGCACCATAACAAACAGCTTCATCTGGATTGATACCAGTGTTAGCTTCCTTTCCATTAAAGAAATCTTTAACAATTTATCTAATTTTTGGAATTCTGCTTGATCCTCCAACCAAAACGATTTCATGAATTTCAGTCTTTTTGAATTTAGAGTCTTCCAAAGCAGTTTACATAGGACCAGTTGTCTTTTTAAAGAGATCATTGTTCAATTCTTCAAATTTAGCTCTAGTGAGTACTTCATTGAAATCTAAACCATCAACTAAATCTTCAATTTCGATTTTAGTTTCATGAGTAGCAGAGAGTGCTCTCTTAGATTTTTCAACTTCTCTCTTTAATTTTTGAATAGCTCTTTTATCAGCACTGATATCTTTATTATGTTTCTTCTTAATGACCTTAATGAAATGATCAATAATTCTTTAATCAAAATCTTCTCCTCCCAAATGAGTATCTCCTGATGTAGCAACAACTTCAAAGACACCATTATCAATAGTTAAGATTGAAACATCAAAAGTACCACCTCCTAAATCAAAGACTAAGATATTCTTTTCTCCATCTTTCTTATCAAGACCATAAGCTATGGCTGCTGCTGTTGGTTCATTAAGAATTCTAACAACATTCAATCCTGAAATAGTTCCTGCATCTTTAGTAGCTTATCTTTAAGCATCATTGAAATAGGCTGGAACTGTGACAACTGCATTAATAACTTTCTTTCCTAAATATGTTTCAGAGATTTCCTTCATTTTAGTTAAAACCATAGCAGAAATTTCTTCAGGGGCAAAGATCTTAGATTAATGACCTTTAATGTTAGTGACTTTAATGTATGGTTTAGTGTCTTTATCAACAATTTCATATGGCATAAACTTTTTATCATATTGAACTGTTGAATCTGTATATCTATAATACAATAAGATAAAATTCTTACTTTCTTCCAATCAATCTTTTGACATCATAAAGTGTTCTAGCAGGGTTGATGGCTGCCTAGTTTTTAGCTGCCTCTCCTATGAGACGTTCTTCATCAGTAAATGCTACAACTGAAGGTGTAATTCTGTTTCCTTATTCGTTTGGAATGATTTCTACATTTCCATTTTTATAAATTCCAACACAAGAATATGTTGTACCTAAATCAATACCAATGACAGGGCATTCAACTTTGTTTGTCTTTTCCNCTGTTCCTTTATCTTAGGCAGCAACTTAAAGGATACCATTGGCATCAATTTCAAAAGTAACTTCAATTTAAGGAGTTCCTCTAGGAGCTGGTGGGATACCTGTTAAATCGAAAGTTCCTAATTTGTGATTATCTTTAACAAGTGGTCTTTCACCTTCAAAAACTGAAATTGTAACAGTTTATTATTAATCTTAATAGGTTGTGAAGACTTAAGATTTTTTGGTTGGAATATAAGATCCCTTTGGAATAATTTTAGTCATGACTCCTCCAACAGTTTCAATACCCAAACTCAAAGGAGTTGCATCAATAACAATTAAACCTTTGGTTTCATTAGATTCTTCACCACAAATAATACCACCTTAGATGGCAGCACCATAACAAACAGCTTCATCTGGATTGATACCAGTGTTAGCTTCCTTTCCATTAAAGAAATCTTTAACAATTTATCTAATTTTTGGAATTCTGCTTGATCCTCCAACCAAAACGATTTCATGAATTTCAGTCTTTTTGAATTTAGAGTCTTCCAAAGCAGTTTACATAGGACCAGTTGTCTTTTTAAAGAGATCATTGTTCAATTCTTCAAATTTAGCTCTAGTGAGTACTTCATTGAAATCTAAACCATCAACTAAATCTTCAATTTCGATTTTAGTTTCATGAGTAGCAGAGAGTGCTCTCTTAGATTTTTCAACTTCTCTCTTTAATTTTTGAATAGCTCTTTTATCAGCACTGATATCTTTATTATGTTTCTTCTTAATGACCTTAATGAAATGATCAATAATTCTTTAATCAAAATCTTCTCCTCCCAAATGAGTATCTCCTGATGTAGCAACAACTTCAAAGACACCATTATCAATAGTTAAGATTGAAACATCAAAAGTACCACCTCCTAAATCAAAGACTAAGATATTCTTTTCTCCATCTTTCTTATCAAGACCATAAGCTATGGCTGCTGCTGTTGGTTCATTAAGAATTCTAACAACATTCAATCCTGAAATAGTTCCTGCATCTTTAGTAGCTTATCTTTAAGCATCATTGAAATAGGCTGGAACTGTGACAACTGCATTAATAACTTTCTTTCCTAAATATGTTTCAGAGATTTCCTTCATTTTAGTCAAAACCATAGCAGAAATTTCTTCAGGGGCAAAGATCTTAGATTAATGACCTTTAATGTTAGTGACTTTAATGTATGGTTTAGTGTCTTTATCAACAATTTCATATGGCATAAACTTTTTATCATATTGAACTGTTGAATCTGTATATCTATAATACAATAAGATAAAATTCTTACTTTCTTCCAATCAATCTTTTGACATCATAAAGTGTTCTAGCAGGGTTGATGGCTGCCTAGTTTTTAGCTGCCTCTCCTATGAGACGTTCTTCATCAGTAAATGCTACAACTGAAGGTGTAATTCTGTTTCCTTATTCGTTTGGAATGATTTCTACATTTCCATTTTTATAAATTCCAACACAAGAATATGTTGTACCTAAATCAATACCAATGACAGGGCATTCAACTTTGTTTGTCTTTTCCTATGCCCATGCTCCGAGTAGAAGTACGATGAGGATTATTGTTTTCATAATTTGTGACGTGTGAAAAAATAAATAATATTAATTTGTTTTTCACTTTTCTTAAAAATATATAAGTTGAATATTCTAGAACATGTGGAAAAAAATTATTTAATCTAATTGTTTATTTATAAAAAACTAATATAAAATTAATTGTTTAATCTTAATAAATCCCCTTCAAGCATCAAACTATCTTCGTCAATCCAATATTTGGTCTTATCACACTATGTTAATTCACATATAATAGTTTTAATTTAGTTTCATTTATTATACAAATAATTTAAAGAATCTTAACAATAAGAAAATTCTTAAAATTACATTCAATATTATATGACTTTCATTTAATATTCAACTTCTCTATTGTATTTTACTGAAAAGAAAAAATTGAAAATATTTAACCACTAAAAAAAATAATATTATTTTTCATCAAATATCTGCATCTCAAATCAAAAAACTAAATAGCTACTTATCCAAACAAATACAAATAGTTTTAACCATAATACTTATGCAATTTGTATTCTGAAAACAATAGAAGTTTGACAAGTGTATAAAAATTATTAATAAACTATTTTCTAAATAAAAATTACACCTTTACAAGAACTCGAGAACATACTTATTTTAATCACAATAAACATTGGCTAAAAAAGATAATTATATCGTTTAATGTTATAATTCAGATCATTTTAACAAAATCTAATATATTATCAATTATCTAATAAATAATTAACACACTTCTAGTCTGATTATAAAATAATTAAGATTTTCAGGTTTTCTTTAATCAAAGAGAATTTCACTTCAGTTTCATTTGTAAAGTTAAAAATACAATTTAAAAACTGAAAATAAAGATGTAATTATTATTTTTCATTTATTCAATATTATAGTAATTGCATAAATAATTGTATTACCATTAATAATAGTATTAATATTTTTATTAATTCTTTATTCGAACATAAGAAATTGTGGTAGACTTTTAATATTATTTTTATTATTTATTGTTGTTTCTTTATTTAGTTCATCTGAAATTTTAATAAATTAAGACGAGATTCTGGATTTCAAAATTTTTAATAATAAATCATAAGTTAAAGGTCAAATAAGAACAATTTAAATTTATTAAAGAACAGACTGTAATTATCTCATATATCAATATAAGAAAATGAAACTATGATTTGATAGATAAGATACAATATATTTAATACTCAGAACCATTTGAAGAAACTAGTGTTGAAAATCAAATTGGCTCAGTTTTCATATTTGATTTGGATGATCATGAGATTAAGCCAACTGCTGGTTTAGTTTTAAGTCATGATGAGAAGAATTTAATTGTCATTAAATAATCAGAGAATCATTACATTATATATTTACTTACTAGTTCTGGCATATACACATTTAATTATGAAATAAGAAATATTTTTCAATGTTTTTCATTATTTTTCTGGTATAATTTGACCAATGATAACTGGAAAGTGTTTTTCAATAATTAAACCCATATCTTTATATTTGATTGATAATTCTAATGGATCTAACCTCTTATTTAATATAGATGAGGAATAAAAATACAAAAAAAACTCTTATAAAGTTAAATGAATTATATAATTAATTAAATATATTAATATATGCACGAAAAAGGATAACCTTCTCTTCCTTCATTACATATAGCTACTAATCCAAATATGAATTCTACCAAAAGAATACATGCAAGAATGATAATAGAACCAAATGTTAAGGACCTTATATCATTACCTAGAGCACAGCAACTGGGATCATATAATCAATAATTTAGAAGAGTTCCTTTAAAATTGAATCCGAAAGTAGTACAAGCCTTTTCACCATATTAAAGTTATTCAATCATTGTAATTGTTGAGATAATATAAAGAGTTTTAGTGATTTTCTTTATGAAAAACATAAAAAAGAAAAATAGCTTTAAAAATTAAAGGAAAAGAAATAGTTGGAAAAATTAAAGGATATCTAACACAAAGAAAAAATTAAATATTTTTAATAAGAAGATGAAAACAATGAGGATATAATTGACACTATTATGGAGAAGGTTAGAATAGAATTAGGATAACAAATATAATCTAATTTCATAACAAATTGATTAAAAAAAAATATTTATTTTTACAATCAATTATGAATTCACTAATTATTATATTTAGTTTTGTAATTCACCATTTTTTAAATATTACAATAAGAAAAAAACATAAAAATATAATTATACAAATAAAATCTATTCTTAAATATTTATATAGACCATATATATTAATTTTATTTAGAATCAGGAAATGTAAGAAAATATTATGATTAATATAATATAATATGAGTGTTCGTAAAATTCAACGAGATCTAGGACCTTAGACTGAAGGTTATAAAGGTGTATTTAAAGGGGTTTCTGAAAATCTGAATGTTGGTGTAGGCAAGTATGCTGCAACAATTACTATGGAATAAAGACAACATCACTATAACATTGGATGGAAACCGTGACAATAATCAAATGAAATTGTTTATGAAGTAGATTATAAACCAAACTAAGTAATAGTCAAAAGGGAGAATGTAGAGATATTATAATCATCTTCTAGTGTGCTAATCTTCATCCACCTACTATAGATATTGATCATATAAATGTACCTTATAAAAAGGATATTCATTTTAATTTTGAATATAAGAATTATAATGATTATCAGAATCCACCTAGAGCTAACCTATGAGAGATAAGCTTACATTAATGGCCACTTAAATAGTGATGGATAATGATAAACCAAATTATAAAACTACCTAATTATTTGCTTAGGTACCTAAACCACTACAAAGATAATTAGTTTATCATCCAAAACCAGATAAATATGATATCATTACTAATCATGAGGTATGTTGTTAAAATGTTATTATTATTAGTCTAATTAAGAACGAATAAAAAAGGCATCTGCTTTTGATTATTGGAATCCAATTTCTGATAAAAAACATTAATTATTCAATATTTCTGAGATTCCTTAATATAGATAAGGCAGTAGAGATCCTATTACATGGAGATTTATTTCCTGATATTATTATTTATTAAAAAATGATTAAATCAACTCTAATTCATATGATGAATCATAAAAATGATGAGATTGACAGTTTAAGTGAATAGATACTAAAAATTGGTATGGTTTCTATGGCATTTTGATAGGCCTTTAGAAAGTTTTCCAAGAACTATCAAAACCATTTGATTGTTCTTTGTAACCTGAATAAATAATACGACTCCTAAGTGTATTTCATTAGATGATTCAATAATGTTCACTTCCAAAGGAATTATTTGCTGATTGTAATATAAGCATGATTTAAAATACTCTCAATACTAGTTTTGCATTAGAGAGATTACCTACTGAATTAAACTTGACAATATCTAAAAGTTTGAATGTGGCACCTAGTTGGGATAACACACCTAAACAAACTTTATAGTAAAATTACTTTAAAGATGAACCTAATTACAGGAAGAGTATGACTGATAAGAAAATCTATTTTTAAGAATTGAGAGAACCTCTAACTTATCAATAGATTTTATAAGTCTATTATATTTATTTAAAAAAAGTGTGTATGCAATAACTTTGTGATATACCAATTATAGATTGTTTCGTAATCTAAAATATCTAATGTTTGGGATTGAGAATAATTGAAGGATAGAGAAATTAGAAACTTCGTTTTTGTTTTGATTTAATTATTAAAGATCTAATTTCATATCAAAATTAGACAATTGATTTATTGTCTAAATTAATGAGTATTCATGATATGAATTAGATTTAAGAGATTTATTTATAAATGTATTGGGTTAGCAAACAATTAAAATATTACTGTAATTTAAACAGATATAATTTGGATTAATCTAAGTTTAAAGAGTTTAAGAAAAACCATAATTTTTGTAGATAAAAATATAAAATATGTGAATCTAAAGAGAGAATCAATAGAGAAGATTTAAAAGACAACCATAATTTCTATAAGTATGAAAGAACACAATTATATAACCAATTTTGATTATCAATACTCTATAAATTTAATAATGATAAATTAATCAACGGATATCGAATTCTTTCAAGAATAAGAACTCACTGTTTCAAGATGGCAATTAGAAGATGAAGACAAAGAAAATTAAACAAAGAATCTTATTTAACTTCCATAACCTAAATCCTCTCTTTATAAGATCAAAATAGAATATCCAGATTATAGTTCTCAAACTCCATCAAACAATAAATCAAAGGAACTAAAAAGAATGATTGAGACAAATTTTAGAAGAAGACCTAAATAGTCAAGTGACGCTTGGGAATAAATTCTACTTAAATGCAATAACATTAAAAAAGGTTGACTACTTGATACTTTTATTTGTTTACCACCTCTTATATTAAATATCATATAATTTATATCAAATAAAAATGTCAAAATATAAGAGTTTATTATTTAAATAAAAACAGAAAATAAGATTTTTTTATAAGTATTCTTTATAATATATAACCAATTCGTATAAACGATGTTATTAAAATCATATTTAAATTAAATACTTTGTTTAACATTATAAATATTATTTTACAATCTTAATTCTAATAAATCCATATATGATATTGTTAATATTCCACTATAAAATTGTTACTTAGAATTCAATAAATTACAACATCTTTATTTAAATTAAAAATATTCTGTCAAGATTATTAATATCATAAAACAATGATTTTTGAGTAAAGATTCATTTGATTTAATCAAACTTACATTCCTTTTTAAACTATTTATCTTATTTAATCTAGTATGATATTTCATAATTTATTTGAAGATTTTTTAAATTATAATATAAATAGTAATTTGAAGAAGAAAAGAGAAATAAATAAATCAAAATCAAAAAGACTATAAAATTAATTAAATGAATCAAAACTATTTTAATTTATTTCTATTACTTATATTCTTTTAGTGAAACAGTAATGATTTTATCTATGAATTTAAGATCTATAATAATCTATACTAATAATGCCTTTTCATTTGAAATCATTTTAAAATAAATTGGTAATATTTAATAGGAAAAAGTGAAATTAAACTGAAAATTAATTCTTGAAATTTGATATAACGGCATTTAATTGTCTAAAACATTTGATAGTATAGAATATATTACTTATATTTACTTTAAAATTATATTAGAATTGATATATATATTTTAATAGTTATTACTTTTTAAAAGGAAATTAGTAAATTTAAAATTCGATTTTAGATTGAATATAGATATTATCAAATTTTGTTTGTTTAGTTGTGATGTCTTTTTTGATGAATTAATTAGAAATAAAGGATTATAATTAATAAATTATCAATAAGAATGTCAAAACGGCCGCCCATTCCAAAATTTACAGAAAGTGAATAAACTCCCATAAAATAAATTTCCATATATGAAGAAATTAACCATTAAATAGTGAAAATGAATCTTAACATAGAGATAGAAAAACAATGTGTTTAAATTTTATCATCAATTTAAATACCTAACTCATCTTAGTATGCATAAGCAGTAATCTATATTGCAATGAAATAACTTAATTTTGAACCTATAATTGCTAATCCAAAGATTCAATTTTTATCTTCTTTGATAGAGACTCAACTGAACAATAATCTATCTAACTTATGCAAAAAACTTAAAATGGATAATAAGGCTACAAAAGCTTGTTAAATAATGTTGAATACAATTAGAAAATTAGTAATTAAACTACCAAAGTAGATATAGAATGCCTTAGCAATAAAGATGGCTTCTGATATTATTTATTCATAATATGGTGGTATCAATTTAACCATCATATCAAAACATGCATAAATATCAGATACTTAATTGAAAAGTTGCTTCAACAGAATTAAACCATTTGCCAAAACCATTCTCTAAAATTACTTAAGCTATTTTAATACAAAAAAACAGCAATGAACTAATATACTCTTATACTCTCAAAATATGTTTATAATATTTAAATAAATTATATGTATTTGTTTTTATTTCAAACTCTAATGTCACAGTAAGAATGGAACTTTGTTTTACTCTTCATATTTTTATTTTGATATAATGAGAATTATAAAGAAAATATAATAATTTATATGATAAATACCAATAATGTTACAATACAAATATATAATAATGCAAATCCACGTAAATCAATGAAAGTGCATTATTTAAGAAAAGAAACTGATAGAAGGAAATTTATGCAAATGTGCTCAACTGTTTTAGGTTCTGGACATCATCATTATTAGAACTAAGAGCTTCTAGGATATTTGATCAATCAGGCAAAGAGATATTGGACATTGATAGAATATAAATGGGAGGGAATTATTTCATATCTAGTGTATATCTAAAATGTATTATTAATATAGGGAGAGGAGTTTAATAATTTTAATTCTAATTTTTAAAATTCTTCAGCTGAATCAAAATAATTAGTTTAATATAGAATTTCATTATTAGGAATGGGTTCTGTTGGAAAATCTAATTTAACAACTCGATGGGTTAATAATGAATTTTTTGAAGATTATAGTCTTACTCTTTTAGATAAATACACAAAAAGAGTAATTGTAGGTGAGTAACATTGTCAAATTGAAGTAAATTATATATCAATTAATGAAGATATCAGATACATGTGGTTAAGAAGCATACACATCATTGAGAACTTAATGGATGAAGGATAAAGAAGGATTAATATTCACATATGCAATAAATTCTTTAGAAAGTTTTGAAGATATCAAAAATACTTTATTGTTATTTTAATAGTTATTTAAGATGCAAGAATAGGTACCATCTATTGTTATTGTTGGAAATAAAACTGATTTAGGTTCTGAAAGAGTTATTACACATGATGAAGGAAAGTAGTTAGCTGCTTAATTCAAAGCATTATTTTATGAGACATCAGCCAAAAATGGATCTAATGTCAATTAAATGTTTACTGGTCTTATTAATGATATTATTCAAAAAAAATAATTCAAGAAAGTAGAAGAAGATACATAAAATTAAAAATAAGGATGGTGCTCATTAATATGAGTTTCTGATTTTTATTATACAATAATAGATTATTTATAAAGACAGATATATAAAATTATAATATAAAATATATTTGAAATCTATAAACAGAAAATATATAATTATATTACTAAATTATTTAATTTTAACAAACTAATTAAAAAAAATAATAATATATGTATTAAGGTACGAATAAACAAATTGATTAATTGAAGTAAGAAATAGAAAAAACTAATATCAAAATAAAGAAGCTAGAAATTAAATTATAAAATGAAAAAAAAGAATTAAAAGAAAAAAGGATGCTATTTAATGGAGTTAAAATTCAATATTAATAATATTCTAAATTAGAAGAAAAATAAACAAATAACTTTTATAAGATTTAAGAGAAATTAAGTAAATGTAAAGAAGAAGAGTATTAAAAAAATATTGAACTTTAAAATGATAAATATTAGATATCTTTACTTGATTATGAGGTTGATTCAAAGGCATTTTAAAAAGCACCTTTTACTTAAAAATAATAATTTATTGAATTCAGAGAGTAAGATGAAATTGCTTTAAATGAATTGGATGAATTAGAAAAAGAAAAAAAGAGAATAAAAAATAAATAAAAATAGAGAATTGAATTAACTAAGAAAATAGAAATTACAGCACCAAAATTATAATAAACAGAAAGATAATTAAGACATAATTAATATTAGAAAATCTATTATGAATAAATGTTAGATGATGTTAAGTATATTATTGAATAGAAATAATAATATATTTCTAATTTAGAATAATCAATCCATGAATATTAACTAATATTATAAGATTTGAATTCAGATATATAGACTGTTATGTTGAACAATCTAAATTTTCATAATTGTTCTCAAAAACATTGATTTATCTTATAAAATTATATATATAAATATATATATATAAAATAATTAAGTAAATGTCAGAAAAGTTCATTTCAAAAAAACATAACTTTGAAAACAAAGCAAAATCCTAGAATTAAAAAGCAAGATTTCTAAATGATAAGGAAGAAAGTGAACATCCTCCTCAAATGAGAAATGCATAACGGTTTTTGTAATTTCATTTCATTATCAAGAAAGTCGAAAACCAAAAGCTACTTAGGAGATGATTGTTATTCCTTAACCATCTATTCAGTATGCTTAACCAGTAATAAAATTGTTAATATTATTTAGTATGTTCCAAAACCAATTCCTATACCTGAAGCAATCAAATAAATAGATAAGAAAATTCAAGCTTATCGTAAAGTAATGGAAAGAGAAAGATAAGAGAAATTATAACGTGAGAAATAAGAATTATAGAAATTATATGAAAATGAAGAAGATCATAAAAAAGAAATAGATTTTATGACAAATCCTCAAATTATTGATTAATAAGAAGAAGAGCCTTCTTAATAAGAAGAAGATAATTAAGAATTGTTGTCTGAAGAACCAAGAGTTCAAGATTAATAACAAATAACAGTGTGTGAGAAGACTTCATATTCTGAATAAGTGAAAAAGAGAGAATAAATTTATGACCATACACTTCAAAGGATGTATGAAAAAAGATAAAATCCATTATTATTTGCAGTAATATTATATAATCTATAAAGAGAAATTCAAAAAGAAGCCTCCAATTTTAAATATTACAACAAAAAATAAAATATAAAAGGGGAATGGAAGAATGGATCCTGAAGAACATAAATTACGAGTATATAATAGAGAAAATGTTCCAACAATACCAGATTTAATAATTCCATCATTTACTATAAAGAAGGATTAAATGGCTAAAAATATTTTGGCATATTTAGTAAAAAATTAAATAATTAATTTAATTTAGAAAGAATATACTCCATTATTTCGTGGATATAAGAATTATGAATATCCAAAATGTGTTTAAAATATCCTTTAAGAAGAGATTGACTCACTTCCAAAATAATGATATTTTGCTTTATTTATTTCTTATAATATCATTATTATTAATTAACTTAAGATAAATGTAAATTTATTAAGAATATATTTTATATGGTAATGAATGAGCGGGACATTATTGAATTGAAAGCGCGGGTTTATATTAAATAATTATTATTAATATAATTAAAATGGCTACTACAAGAATTCCATTCTCTAATGTAAGTTAAGTGAATAAAGGTGAGAAATTACCCACAACACTTGGGGAGAAAATTGAAAAGACTGGAAATGCAGAAAAATAAGTATAACCTACAAATGCAGAAATAAATAATGTGAAAGGAACATTAGATGAATTATAATTTGAGAACATGGATAAGTAAACACTTATACAATAATTAAAATTGCATAAGTTGATTTTGAAACATTGTTTTGATGAAAATGATATTGTACAATTATTTGAAGGATTATTTTTAGTTGAGAGAAAGAATAGCAGCAATCGAAGCATAATTCAGTAATTTATAAGATGAAATTGAATTAAGAGATAATGTCATATTAGAACTAAGTGAGAAGCTAGAATAGAAAGAAAAAGAGTGATTAATTTTTTTTTATTATTTTATTTTTTTTAAACCCTTAATGAATAATGAAGAAAGAAAAGAATTAATTGATGATATATAAAAAGTATGGTATATTTTAGATAAATTTGGATTTAGTGGCAGAGTGCTTTGAAACATGCTTTGATGGCTAATTATTATAGAACAAATGTGCAAATAATTGTTATAAACATTATCTGAATACTTTGAAAGTGATTACATAAGAAACAAAAGAAAGAGGTTATAAAGTACATTCACTTTATGCTTACAAAATGTTCCCAATCAGACAACCAAGATTCTAATTAGTTTATAATGAGAGATTTAAACCTACTGCCTTTGAAATTGAATTTTCAGTTGATCCTGTAAGTTTAAAAGAAATCTGAGTATGTATATATTTATCATTTATAAAATTCAATTTATTTCTGAAGTATATTATTTAAGAAAATAAGGAAATGATTTAGCACCACTGAATGTTTTAATAATTTCTATAATATTATATATATATATTTATGAAATTACATATTAAAATACTATAACAAATAGTATTTGAAATCATAGAGAAATATAAAAATAATAAAAATTTGTATTTCAAAAGAGCACAATATAATGAAAGCATATTGGCAAACTTATTTTTAATTTTCCATTCTAATTATTGACTCTTATTAATTTGATTTGAAATTCAATATATAATAGTGAAAATATTATTCAATTGAGTAAATATATGAACCCCAATACAAAGATTAAATTATATTTTGAAAGCAAAATTTACTTACTAATCTTGTTTTGTGAAATCAGCAGCTACTTTCAATAGAAATCTTTTTGGGCCATATATAAAAGTGATAACCCTCAAAATAATAGGACCATGTTTGTATAATATCTTTAATAATATTTACTAATATCTATAAAACTTTCTATTAAAAATTAGATAAATATAAAACAATAATGAATGAAGATTGATTTAATTATTTCATATGAATAATTAGATTTAGAGTTTAATAATTTTAAGTAAATTGGATAATTCTACCTATTTTATAATTGAATTCAAAATATAATTACATGAGAATAGTCAATCTCATAATTTTCTGGAATATATTTATTTTTTTATTTCATCTGCTTATGTTTACAATTTGCATTTTTCTGTCATTTCTTTAGTAAATTCATGATCTTTAAAATAAAATCTATAAAGATTTCTAACTTCTTATCCTGCAAGAGTGTTTTGTAATGCTAATTTACGTAATTTGTATTCAATTTCAATTGGTTGAATGATGTAAAAGTTGAAATAAGCACAACTGAGAAGAAATACAACTTTGCTGACTTTTCTAGTGAACATAAATTAAGTGAGTATAACAGATGAAAAATATATGGCATTAAGTCCCATTAATGTATTATCAGTCATTTCTTTGAATTCATTATCAAGATTTCTAAAATGATAATCAAATGATTTAATACGCTTATTGTAATTCTTATAAAATGGATATCTATTATTTGTTATTGAGTAATGAATTCACTTTCTATTATATTACAAATTATATATATACATTTCTAATAGACTACATAACAGATCCTTCAGAGGGTACATCTGCGGTTAAAAGAGTCTTTAATAATTGCATACCATCGGAATTATTAGAATTATTATCACCCATAATTAATAAAATTAATGATTACAGAGAAGGATAAACTAATCACTTCATATTTATCTTTTCGTGGATTATAAAAACAACACATTGATTCATTTAATTACTTTATAGAATAGAGATTAGAATAGATAGTGAAATCTCCTTTGAATTAGAGAATTACTTGTGAAAGTGATTCATCTTTCCTTTTGGAGTAATAAAAGCTCATCATAAGCATCTAGATATTTATCAATAAGAGTAGAAAATCCAACATTCACCAGCAGTTGGGATAAATACTCTTTGAAAAGTCTCTTATATCCTCATGAATGTAGATTAAATGATTAGACATATGCAGGAAATATATAGTAAGAAATATTCAAATTTAAATAGTGTGAATGTACGTATTCATATGAAGGGTAGAGAGCCAATTGAAGAAAAAGACATACTAATTGGAAGAATGCCAATAATGTTGGGATCTAAAAAATGTAATTTATCAGGCAAGACAGAAGCAGAGATATTTTAATATGGAGAATGTCCATATGATCCAAAAGGTAAGAATATTATTATTAAGATTTTTAGGATATTTTATTATTGAAGGCAATGAAAAAGTTATACTAATATTAGAATAGATTGTTGATAATAGAATTATTGTTGATATTGATAATAAGACTGATTAATATGTGTCTACAGTTTAATCTTATCAATTAGAAACTAAATCAAAAGCATCAATAATTTTAAAAAAGAATAAATTTTATGTGAAATCTTCAAGTTTTAAAGATGCTCCTCTTTTTATTGTATTTAAAGCATTAGGTATTGTTAATGATAAAGAGATTATTGAATTAATTGGAACTGAACCAAGTATAGTAGAGAAATTATTAATGAGTTTTTAGGATACATCAGATGAAAAAGTTAAAACATAATAAGATGCATTATAATATATTGGAAAATTAATTACTAGTAAATTTGGTGGTCAATCATCTAATTAAGCAGAATAAGCAAGAGAAAAATTAGCATAAGTCTTTTTGGCACATGTCAATTGCAAAAAATATGATTTCTATCCTAAAGCTATATATTTAGGATAAATGGTTAGAAGATTAATATTAGCAATGGAAGATAAAAGATTTGTTGATGATAAAGATTATTATGGAAATAAAAGAATGAGATGTGCAGGAAATCTTCTTGAATTATTATTTGAAGATTTATTTAAAGGATTAAATTCAACTATATCTAGTATACTCAAAAAGGAATTAGGTAAAGCTAATTGTAAATTCACTCCTAAAGATGTTACTATGAAAATGAAAGAATTTGGAGTAGATATCACTAAAGGATTAAATAGAGCAATTAAAACAGGTAAATGGACTATTTAAAGATTTCATATGGATAGATAAGGAGTTACATAATTATTAGCTAGAATATCATATACATCTGCTCTTGGTATGTTAACTAAAATGAGAAGTCAAGTATAAAAAACACTTAAAGTAAGTGGACCAAGAGCTTTAGTTGGATCTTAATTTGGAATGATTTGTCCTGCAGATACTCCTGATGGTGAAGATTGTGGTTTAGTTAAGACTTTAGCATTATTAACACATATAACTTAAGAAGATATATAAGATAGTGTTTATAAAATTATATTAACTATGGGAGTAGAAGATATATGTCATTTTAAACCAAGTGAATTTCATAAGAATTATATTGTTTATTTAAATGGTATTATAGTGGGAATGCATGCTAGACCTTAAACTTTTGTTGATTAATTAAGAATATTAAGAAGGAGAGGTAAGATTAATGAATTTGTTTCAATACATAAAGATGATNAATCTTATCAATTAGAAACTAAATCAAAAGCATCAATAATTTTAAAAAAGAATAAATTTTATGTGAAATCTTCAAGTTTTAAAGATGCTCCTCTTTTTATTGTATTTAAAGCATTAGGTATTGTTAATGATAAAGAGATTATTGAATTAATTGGAACTGAACCAAGTATAGTAGAGAAATTATTAATGAGTTTTTAGGATACATCAGATGAAAAAGTTAAAACATAATAAGATGCATTATAATATATTGGAAAATTAATTACTAGTAAATTTGGTGGTCAATCATCTAATTAAGCAGAATAAGCAAGAGAGAAATTAGCATAAGTCTTTTTAGCACATGTCAATTGCAAAAAATATGATTTCTATCCTAAAGCTATATATTTAGGATAAATGGTTAGAAGATTAATATTAGCAATGGAAGATAAAAGATTTGTTGATGATAAAGATTATTATGGAAATAAAAGAATGAGATGTGCAGGAAATCTTCTTGAATTATTATTTGAAGATTTATTTAAAGGATTAAATTCAACTATATCTAGTATACTCAAAAAGGAATTAGGTAAAGCTAATTGTAAATTCACTCCTAAAGATGTTACTATGAAAATGAAAGAATTTGGAGTAGATATCACTAAAGGATTAAATAGAGCAATTAAAACAGGTAAATGGACTATTTAAAGATTTCATATGGATAGATAAGGAGTTACATAATTATTAGCTAGAATATCATATACATCTGCTCTTGGTATGTTAACTAAAATGAGAAGTTAAGTCTAAAAGACACTTAAAGTTAGTGGACCAAGAGCTTTAGTTGGATCTTAATTTGGAATGATTTGTCCTGCAGATACTCCTGATGGTGAAGATTGTGGTTTAGTTAAGACTTTAGCATTATTAACACATATAACTTAAGAAGATATATAAGATAGTGTTTATAAAATTATATTAACTATGGGAGTAGAAGATATATGTCATTTTAAACCAAGTGAATTTCATAAAAATTATATTGTTTATTTAAATGGTATTATAGTGGGAATGCATGCTAGACCTTAGAAATTTGTTGATTAATTAAGAATATTAAGAAGGAGAGGTAAGATAAATGAATTTGTTTCAATACATAAAGATGATTTAAGGAAAGTTGTAAATATATCTGGTGATAGTGGTAGATTAGTTAGACCATTGATTCTTGTAAAAGATGGTAAACCTTAATTAACTTAAATTGACATGATTGATTTCAAGTAGAATGATGCAAAAACAGTATTTTCTAATTATGTAAAAAATGGGAAGATAGAATATTTAGATGTTAATGAATCTGATAATGCATTTATTGCATTAACTATAAATGATGTTACAATTGAAACTACTCATTTAGAAATAGATTAAATGACAATTCTAAGTTGTGTAACTGGTTTAGTTCCATTTCCACATCACAATTAAAGTGCACGTAATACATTTTAATGTCAAATGGGTAAATAATCTTTAGGTATTATTGGAATGAATACATAAATAAGAAGTGATACTTAATTATATCAATTAATATATCCACAAACACCTTTAGTTCGAACTGTTTCTATGGAAGCTGTCAATCAACATAGATTACCTGCTGGACATAATGCATAAGTAGCAGTAATGAGTTATTCATGTTATGATATTGAAGATGCATTAATAATGAACAAATCTTCTTTAGATAGAGGATTTGGTAGAACTGCAGTCTATAAAAAATCAGTTACTGAGTGTGAAATCAATTAAAGAAATAAGGAAAGTAGATTTAATGAAAGAATTGATGAACCACCAACTAAAACACATAATACAAAAAAGAAATTTATTAAGAAATATCATGCTCTTGATAATGATGGTATAACTAAAGTAGGTGCATAATTACATCATGGAGATATATATGTTAATAAAAAGACACCTTAAGTTCCAGATAATCCTTTAATTGAAAATATATAAATAGCAGATACTCCATCAGTATTTAAAGAAAAGTGGCCATATACTGTAGATAGAGTATTAATTATTAATAATACTAATGATGGAACTGAGAAAATCAAAACAGTTAAAACAATCTTTAGATAAATAAGAAGACCTGAATTTGGTGATAAGTTTTCAAGTCGTCATGGTCAAAAAGGTGTTGTTGGTCTTATTGTTAATTAAGAAGATATGCCTTTTAATGAAAGAGGATGGTGTCCTGATTTAATTATGAATCCTCATGGTTATCCATCTAGAATGACAATTGCTAAATTAATGGAACTATTATGTGGTAAATTGGGAGCTTTGGAAGGTAAATTTAAATATGGTACTGCTTTTGGAGGAGAGAATGTATTATAGGTAGGAGAAGAATTATTAAAAAGAGGATTTCATTATTAAGGAAAAGATTGTTTAATATCTGGAATTACTGGAGAATATATGGAATGTTATGTATATTAAGGACCTATTTTCTATTAAAGACTTAAGCATATGGTTATTGATAAAATTCATGCTAGAGCTAAAGGACCAATGGAAAAACTTACTCGTTAACCTGTTGAAGGTAGAGCTAAAGATGGTGGTTAACGTATAGGAGAAATGGAGAGAGATTGTTTTTTAGCATATGGTGCTTCAAATTTATTAATTGAAAGATTATTAATATCAAGTGATCCATTTAATGTATATGTTTGTGAAATATGTGGAATGTTTAAGAGTGATTCTGTTTGTAGAGGTTGTAATACAGATAAAGTATATTAAATTAGATTGCCATATTGTTGTAAATTATTATTTTAAGAACTTTTGGCAATGAATATTAAACCAAAATTATAATTAGTACCTTCTCATGAGAGATAAGAGTATACAATGAATTGAAGATATAAATCTATCAATTAAATATATATATAATATTGTGTAGACATAATTTTAAATATTTAGAAATGTAATTATATCATATATATATATAATAATTATATTAAAGAAAAATGCATAAAATGACTATTCAAGAAATGAAATAAATTTTAGAATAAAAGATTGATTTTGATTGTTAAGCTACTTAAAATGCTATGAATAAATTGGGTTTAAATTAATGGGCATTTTAAAAGGTTAGCTATTTAGAATATATGACTGCAAATAATAATTAGTAAGATTATTTTACATATTTACATTCTATTGTAATGAACATAAAAAAATTGCAGTAAGAAATAGCAAAAATGAATTCAAAAGATAAATCTATTGATTGTACAGAGCCAGGAAATATAGATGAGATTATAGCAATATTAGATCAAAGAATGTAGAAGAAAATAAGTAATAACAGTTAACCTCGTATAATATCATATAGAGAGAAAACTTAAGAGAGAGATGAGAGAAAATCAAGAATAATAAAATTGAATCAACATTAGATAAAATCAATAACAGAGAGAACATTGATATCACAATAATCGCCACCTAAAGATCAAAATACTTTTATTTCTCAAAGTCCAGATAGAATCATACACAAGAGTAAAGTTGTGCATTATGGATAGAGTTAATAATTTCCAACAATTAAAGTGTTGCTGATTTGTATTCTAAATAACAGGCTTCAATTGAAGCAAGTACTATGGAACAATTAAATGAATCATTACGTAAATAAATACCTGACAAGAATATAACTATTATTACAGGAATTCGTTAAAGATTGAAGGATAGTAATTGTAGTAAATAATCTATTGATGAATTTATGAATAAAATTGCAAAATTAAGATGTGTATCATAATAATCTATTGAAAGCAATAGGAAGATTTAAACTCCAGCAATTAAAATATTAAAAAAGAAAAATTCTAATATAATTACAACAAAATTAGAAATGATGTTGAAAAAGGAAAAATTAATTATTCCAGATGAACCCTTAAAAATTTATCCATTAAAAATAGGAAGTATTATGGGTGTTATCTAAAAGATTAAAAATTAGAAATCAAAATAAAAGATATTTTAACAACTTAACTAATGAATATTTTTTTGTAATAATGATTTTTTTTTTGTTTTGATTTTGAATTAATGTTTATTTTTTATTTATTTGCAATAGCCAAATTTCAAAGGATCACACAACCTTAATTAACAAGAATAAATGAGCATATATAATATACAGAATATAGTCCTAATGTTGGATAAACATTATTATTACAATATAATAGGTGAGAATAGTATATATATCTATAATCTAGTTATCCTGGAGTTTATGAAATGAAGTTGAATAAAGTAATAGATGATGAGGCTATTGAAATGATGCCTAATACAACACTTGATCCATTTACATTACCTGATTGTTATCCATATGCAAGAAGATTGGTTTATTAAGATCTCTTTATGGAAACATTTTAATCAAATTCTACTAATGCATTCTTTACAGCTCTTTATATTGAAAATAATTAAGTGTTTGCTACTAGAAGTGATAATCATTTAATTATTATGGAAATTGATTTTGATGGTGATATTATTAAAAATTTCACATAAGTAAAAATCATTAAAATACCATCTATTAAATCAGATAGTGATTCACATTAGATTGTATGTAATTCTAATAGTTGTATTATTTTTACATTGTATGATACATTTATGGTGAATACAGTGAGTGATGAATTTATTCAGTTAAATTTGAATAAAAAATAAACACCATAACATATTCATTATTGTTCAAAATTATAAACTCTCTATGCCGCTTATGGTAGAGAAGGTATTGATGTATATTTATTTGATAAATAAAATACATTCTAATATTTAATAAGTTTAAATCTTATTGGAAATTTTTTGGAAGTATTAACAAATGAAGAAAGTACTCAACTTTATTTGTTAAATGCTGATGTTGGATTATTAATTTTTGAAATATTTTCAGTCAATCAATATGAAGATACTGGTATCATTATCTATTTAAAAAATATTGTTTCTTTTGATTTCTATTAAAAGACATTTATTTTAGTAGCAAATACTGATTAAGGTGATCCCTATGCTATTGAAGTATTTCTATAAGATAATGATTATTACTTTAATAGAATCTATTCAAAAGATATGGATATCTTTGATGTTTATATGGGTGAACATTATGCTATTTTGATTGGTTAAGAAATTCATAGAGTAATCTATCATTCAATTTATAATAAATATTTAAATAAAATTGATGTTCCATTATATTTTGAAGATTTTGATTTACAAAATGTAGAAGAATTTAGAGTTAAGACTTCAAAATTATATAATTAAAATGCCTTAGATTTTGAACCATTTTAAAAAGCTACAATTTATTATAAATAAGCATTTATGGTTGGTATATCTGATAATGAAATCAATATCTTTGCTATAAAGAGTGTTTTCCCTTGGTTGTAATGTAGACCATAATCAACTGATGTCACAGTAATTTAAATTATATTTCTTAGCATTATGCCTTAATTATGAATTCTACATAATGTAGTACCAAAGAATCTGATAATGATTATTCTCCATTTTCATAATGTGTCATTTATCATAATTTTACTATAACTGGTAAAGAAATTCTCTTTTTCGAAGAAGATGAAACTTTAGTAATTGCACTTGGTAGTGTTTTAGGGTATTAATTCTAAATTATATTTAATAGTGGTTTAATAATATTGTTATTGACTGTTTTATTGATATGTAGAAAAATACTACATTAAAGATTGAAGAATTATACAATAATGAATGAAGTTCCTGTTAAAGTAGAAGACATTCCATTAGAACCAATGGCTGGTGAAGACGCACTTGTGTCATGAATTTTATGTTATTAATATAATTTTTATGTTCAAAAGGAAAAAAGATTACATTCTAAATTAAATAATATTTCTTTACATGGATTTGTAATCTTTTCAATTTTATAATATAAAAAGGAAGTTAATGAAATGAAAATACAATTGCAAATGTTCTGATTAATATTTAATATAACTTAATATCTTTGATTAATTGGATTGTAACAATATTTAAAATTGAATAAAAACTTAAAGTAATTTAATTATCTCAATTTATATTCATAAAGATTAATAATAACTTATATCAACATAATATTAATTATTAATAGAGATGTATTATTATATTAAATGGGAAGTTTTTTAATTTGCCATTAATATAATTTAGATCAACACCTATAATTATTAGAACACTTAAGTTAGGAATTTTATAATCAAAGTAAATAATAATTTATTAGGATTCTTTTTAATATATAAAGTTCATTTCAAAATAATAATTATTATTTATA